TATTTTCTTTCGTCGTACACAAAGTCTTGTTCTTTATTCAATATAAATATGAAGAAAAAAAATAAATAAAAAAACACATTAGGGACGATGTAGTTCATAATAATCACTTAATGGCTTTGGAAGATTTCCACCAAATAAGTTCAAATAATATTCTTTTTGTAGATGATAGTATTTTTGAAACGCTGGATGATGTACACTAACACCATAATTGTAAGACACTGGTATTTGTTTCTTTTCATAGCATGATGATGTTATTTGGATCAATTTGTGCCCGTTTTGATGGAATAACATTAGATAAACAATCTCGACAAGGTATAAATTCACCACCGAAATGTATGGATACAAATTCAACTAAAGTTAATTGTTCACCATTTGCAGCTGGTATATTTTCATATATATTAAAATTGGATCTTAATGTAACCCCACCACTGGATCCGTGATAGAGATTTTCATTACTTAAGACCCATTGATAATTCGAAAAACTAGTGTTTCGATATTCTAGATCTTCGATCCATTCATCTGAACTTTCATTTAATTTATATGGAGCAATAACACGTCCATAAGATACACAACGTCCACCGAAACTATGAAATATTTTTTTCAGTTCTTCAAATGGGGGTAAAAATAAGTCAAAGTGGTGACGTCCACTTGACTCTTAAGTTGAAAATTCATTGCCGGGGTATGAAATAGTGATAATAGGATCATCAATCTGAACGTGTTCGATTGATGGTATGAATATTACTGAATTATTTCGAACTTTTTCTGTCTCTTTCACAACCACAAAATCTATCATATCGAAATTACCGGTAATTCCAAGGGGGAAAAAGCATACTTCTGTACTTCTGGTACTTCTCCGTACTTCTTGATACTTCTTCGTACTTTTTTGTACTTCTCCGTACTTCTGAAGTACGAAGTACGAAATACGAAATCCCGTATTTCGTACTTCGTACTTCAGAAGTACGGAGAAGTACAAAAAAGTACGAAGAAGTACGAAGAAGTATCAAGAAGTACGGAGAAGTACCAGAAGTACAGAAGTATGCTTTTTCCCCCTTGGGTAATTCCTAATATTGGATCTTTTTCAATATGCCGTTCACGTATGTTAGAATATTTATTTGGATCAAATAATGTTGTTTCGACAATATTGAGAGATATTAGATTATTTCTTGCATAAGCAAAATCGAAGTCATTATTCGTAACAGTCGTACACTGCTTTAATAATGGCGGTGTAGCATAAATATCATTTGTGTCGGTAAATAATGACGAGAGTTCAATTTGACTAATGTTATGTTTATTGACACAAATTAAATTTTTACTCATGTAAAAACCAGAACATGAATCTGATGATAAACAAAATCGAACAACACCATTCGCAATACGCTGTAATTTATTACTATTATTATCGAAATACAAACGAGCTTCATCGGAAATATTTTCTTCTTTATACACTAATTCATCATTTTTTAATCGAGCAATATCAAATATAAATGGACAAGACACAGATATTTGTGAAGATGTTGACGAGACATTAGTCTTGTCATGGCAACAGATAACATCCAAAATAGTACGTATATAACGCATTTATTTTTCTTTAATCTAAAATGAAACAAACGAAGCAGAAATAACGATTTTATTATAGATATGAACGATAATGAAACTACAAAAATATTGATGATTTTCTTCATATTTTCCTTATGTAAAATAAAATATAAAGTGAAATCAGATTGTGTAAAATGTTTTTGGAAAACAAGACATCATTTATCTCAATCGAACAGGATAAATAAATAATTCTAAAAATAAATATTTATTGAAACAAAAAAAGGAAGAAAGAAATGATTTAGACATGATCATTATCAGAAGTTATCTGCCAAAAATGACAATCGAGAATAATTTTTATTTTTTGTTTCTCTTCCATTCTCATCGTTTGTTGAATTAATATTAATTCATGTAAATGAAGTAAGATGAGAGAAAAAGATATATCAACACATAATGAATATTGTAGAATGTTGGATTGTATTAATTCATTTAAAGTCAGATTTAATTATCTTCAGAAATATATGTTAACACTTCCCAAATAAACTAAACTTAAGCGATTTTTTCTTGTTATTCTAATATCAATCAAATCAAATGATTTATTTTGATTAATACAAAAAAACTAATAATTATTTCTCATCTTGCAGAATGTCGCTTCTCTTTATTTGTTTACAACCACGCTTTGTGCGTATGGTTACATGCATGCACTCGTTTTTCCGCCTCAGTCATTGAGTAAATATCGCCTATACTCCAAAACTTAGTCAATCAGTCTCAATAAAAGAAATCCTAGATCGTTCTTTATTATTTATATTTTTATCAATAGACGTATGAAAATGTTGCCAACTGTGATATAACGTGCATTTCGGCTAAACAAACAACATCAACCTAGAAGACGGCAAAAAGTGGGCAGAACGGATGCTAATGCTTCGCGACAAAGAAAACCAACTGGAAAAGCGTTTATATTGATTAATTGTTGAAATCTACGATCTTTTATAATATGGAAGACGTGTGATTTGTACAGCCAGGTACAATCCAACATTATTGTCCACACAGATGCATTTACAATTCCGACATATTTATCTATATTAGCTACTGATCTCGAAACATTTGTGCACCGAATAAATAAATATACGGTAAAAATGACGAGTACAAATTGATGTTTAACTTAATTCAAATGAATTTTTATTTATTCAAATTATTCAGTTATTTACTTACAATGATTTTGATGATCATGACACTAGCCGATAATCTGCAAAGGTCTGAATAGCTTAATCACCTTTTCAATTTGTTCGGCTCTGAATCAGGGTCTGAATCAGCCCTGAAAAATTGGAAATTATTTTTAAAAAACATTTGTTTATTGTCTGTTTCATTTCACTGATTCCGAGCTAAATATTCTGATTAGTATTTTTAGGGCTGATTCAGTTAATCAGATGACCCTGAGTAATAGGGTTTCATTGTGTTAATTTCATACTAATAGATCTGTATAAGTTAGGTCATGTTTAATCCCTCGGCTCTGAGATTCCAAAGAGCTTCCTTAACGAATTTACTAGCTACTGAACAGCTATTGGCTGATTTTTGCAGATCCTGAATGAAAAAACTTCATGAGCTTCTATTCTTGTTTTAAAGTGCGTATAATATTAGAAAGGTAATGTCAAAAGTTCAGCGCATCGGAAAGCAAAAATCTCTTGATGGAAACCGGTTTTCGTTATAACCATAGAAATGGATATTAGTACTGGCCACTTGGATCAGCGAAGCGTCCAGCATTTATTCCTAGCCATAATGGTCTAACGAGATACTCATCATGGGTTTAGGAGTACAATCGGGCAGGAAAAGATTTTTCAAAGCAATAATGTGGGAGAAGTAGAAGTTTTATGTAGACATTACCGTCAGATAAAATTCGCCTCATCTAGTTTCACGGAAAATTTAGTAATCGCCACTACCTACATTAGCTAATAAACCTATCGGATAAAACGTGGAGATCATCAGCTAGTTCGTACTACAACAGTTAAATGTCCCTCTAAGGCATCTGATTAATCGAAAAATCTCTCCTCTAGCTTTTTGTTTTGTTTTCTGTTTTCATGAATTGTAACAGTTTGTAGAGTATTTTGAACCATTCTTGGATTTGCTTATGCAATAAAAAGACATTAAAAAACACACTTTGACTTCTCGGAATCGAGAAAAAAGTTGCTGTTTATACGGTTTTTTTTCTTCGAATAGCTGATTCAGACCTGGAAAATTATCTCAAAACGTAACGGACTGAGCAAAAAAGGGAGCCGGATGGGTGCTCACAAGGAAATATAGTCGCATTTCCGCGAGCGACATTACTATGAATCGATATTTGAAGGGGAACAGATAAGTTGCTCGCTAGAAAGATTCCAGCGTTTGACAGTACTACTCTCTAAAAAAAAATGGTTTATTACGAAACTTAAAAGGGTATAGAGGCTTCAATGAACGTGGTATCGAAGCTGGACTAGTCAAGTCAGACTTGACTTGGGAAAAGGTTTTATCGATCTTCTGACCGACTACTAATTTTGTCTGTCTCTTAAGTCATTTTAAAAGTGCATTCTTTTAATACAGAGAAATGATATTAAAGATCTAAGTAGAGTCGTTTTCCATGCAGAGCTGGGCAAGTCAAGACAAAAACGCCTCTATTCCAAGTCAAGTCAGACTTGACTGGCTTGAAAACTCTTTTCGTTGACTGAAACTTGAAAAAATCCTGACTTGTCCAGCTCTGCGTGGTACAAAAGCAGGGAAAAAACGAGCTTCGAATAAATACCAGTATATGCTTACAATAATGGTATAAAACGTCTGAAGTTCGATATTGATATTAACTACAGAAAGCGACATTGAACACATACAAAAAGAGAGTGAATGAATACCTCACACAATGAGAGAGAGCGATGAATTATGGTTGGAAGAGAGTGGAAGAACAGGTCATATTTCGTTACATACTCGGAGTCATTGTTATTACAGGTCGGTGACCTTTGATGACTCTCATTTTTCGTGAATAAACAATCTTAGAATCTTAGAATTAGTTATTGTGCTCGATTGTGCATCAGATTTAGATCAGTTGTAAATAAAAAAAAAGCAACTCTATTTCTTTTTTCTACACTCAGTTTGTTATACTAATCTAACAATTCAGTTTGGGAACTTGCCAGCTTGGCTATTTAACCGAATTTCTATAACCGAATACTCTCAGTTGATAGAGTCAGCCAACCAGTCATCAAGTAGCCCATCATACTAATTCTTATTCACATGTGACGAGTGAATTCTGAAAGATCAGCAAATGATAAAACTTGAAGTATTATTGAACTTCAAGTTGCTAGCCTCCAGTACTTTATTATGTTTGTTAAACATAATCAAGCAAGTACACTCAGCTATGCAAAAAAGACACATGGCTTTCCCAAAGAAGATGTCCCTCAATCCTTAACCGTTATTGAACTTTTTTAGATCGTGTGAACGGTGTCATTTCTAAACTTTGGTTTAACTGACCGAGGAAGGAATGGTATGGGAAAACAGTAGATTTAACTTTCCCCGATGAAGCAGGCTATAGTTCGTGCAAAAAGCAAAGAAACAAAATAGTCATCTTTCACATTCTGTGATTTATTGGTTTCTGTATTAGGCCAAGCACAATCGAGAAAAAATGGCTTCATCTAATGGTATTCACATAAATCGCGTGTTTCAAACAGACAACGTCTTTCGGATAACTATCTTAAATATCTGCTACTAGTTGTTTATTGGCTTTTCAACATATTCTTCTTCCATCGAAGAAGTGTTTAATGAGATACGAAACTCGTGAGGTTTTGTGAAATTTCTACTAAACTTTTAATGCTACTAACCCACTTCGCCGGTTTCGTATACTCTGTACAAAACCTTGTAGAAAGAAATTTTATTTTGAGGTTTCGTATCATGTAACAAACCCTCTCAATTTCGAAATTTCGCTACAAAACCATTAAAAGTTTCGAAGCAATACACCAAACCTTAATGGTTTAGTATGGAGCCTTTTTTTTAAAGAGTATGAAGGAATACAAGAAGAATCTCAACAGAATCGCGTTCAACAAGAAAGTTGAATGGAATATAAATGTAGTTGAATCAAATTTAAAAGACAGTTTTGCTTTTACAGAAGAAAGAGTCTCATTCTAATATCTACTTTATTTTAGTAAAAGTCAATGATCGGGTAATGAGAAACTTGCTTTGAATTCGAAGCTCATCAGATACTTTTCAGTGAATATAGTGCTTGATACGTGTATGCAACAATATATAATATGATATCGGGTCCTGAGGCGCATCTGCTAAAGCTGTTTCGCCTCATATAGTTCCTTTCTAACAAAGATAACAACAGTATAGTCGGTATAATGAAGAGTAGAGGTGGGCAACCCGATCCGTACCCGTACCCGACCCGAAGGTTGAGTACGGGTACGTAGTTATCGAGTACAGATCGGGTAAGCGTTGTATTCATTTTTAATTTATCCGAACAGCGGAAGGTTCTAGTGGAAAATCCACAAAATTTTAGGGAAAAAGTACAGGAATTTAGCTAACATACATGAAGGATTAAAAAAGAATTACTTGAGAACGTAATGATAATTTGAAATCTTCAGCCGAAAAACAAAAGTTGTGAACTGGAAAACAAAAAGGAGAACATTTTTAGGTATAAGTCGGGTACGAGTACACAGTAGTCGGGTACGGGTACGGGTGGAAAAAAATTTTTCGGGTCGGGTACGGGTACGAAAATGGTACCCGTGCACGTCTCTAATGAAGAGTTTTAGGAAAAAACTCAGAAGATTGTAGACTCAATGCAACAGGTCATATGTATACATACACTTACCCAATGACGCTCACCCAATTTGTTTCAGGGTAAATTCCTCCCTGGACTTTTCGTTGCAGGTCAATTTGTATCAATCGTTTTGTCGTGGGCAATTTGTCCCACAAATGATTCGTCTCATCCCCAAGAATATCTAACTCGTCTCATTTGCACCTTCGTGTTTTGTTCTTATATTCAAGGTCGACAGACGGATTCTTCATTACGTAGAAGTCAGATGAATTTTATC